TGGGTTCATTGCGAAGGTAAGAAAAAAAAAGAAAAAATCTCGTGGGTTCATCGCAAAGGTAAGAAAAAAAAGAGAAAAAAAGAAAAGAAATAAAAGGCTGAAAGAATGAGAGGATTGGGGAAGAAAATGAGGGTATATTGGTAATTAAAAAAAAATTTGGCCATGTCATCAAGTTTTGCCAGATGGATTTTACACGTAATTTAAGTAAAGAAAAAAAAAATTTTTCTGTTAGTTAACATGCCATGTAAGCCAAAATTTAACGGAGGGACCAAAAAGGGGCCGGATTTGTGAATAGTAAGGATCAAAAATGGGATTTTTTCGATATAGGGACTAAAAAGGGGCTTTTTCCTATAGTAGAGGAACCAAAAAGGATATTTAACCTATTTGATTTGAGGAAACAGCCACTGGTAACGGAGAAGGATAATTTTTGTGATTAATTAAATTACTGTTAATATTGGTTTAGTGAATGTTATTAATATTGTATATAAAATTATAAAGTAAGTTTTGTTTAAATTGTATCGAAATTGTTAATTTTTCATATTTAATAAAAAATTAATATAAAAAGAGTTTATATAAAAAAAATAGTATCTACCAGCCTTATCTCTTAAAAATTATGAAGAAAATTATCTAAAAATTACGTTATTTTAGTAAATTTTTATTAAAAGAAGACTAAACTATTTTATTTTTAAAATATACATTAAAGTAATTTTTATTTTTTTTCTCTTAATTTTTTGAAAGTTAAGCAGAGAAGCACTTACCCCTTATATAAAAGTTGTTAATCGAATTCTATTTCCTAGATAAGAAGAATTAAAAGAACTTATTTTCCTTTAAAAAGTGTGTGAAAAAATTTTTATAGATTGAGAATTATGTTAAAAAATTAAATATTAAAAAAATCATTTTACCTTATTTTGTTATAATATTAATATGTGAAAATACATAAATAATATTGTAAAATATAAAATTTAGAGAATTTTAAGAGAAAGTCTCTCTCGATCAAACACCTCTTAAAAAATTGTACATATAAATCCTAACTATCATAAAAAATTAGAGTTTAGACTTCAAAAATATTACTTTTTAATAAATATTTTTAAGAATAAATAATTAAATTTAATATTTCATTAATACAGAAATTTAATATTTCATTAACACAGACGATGAATATTAATTTTTAAGCTAATTTATCATTTAAACCAATGGTAAATACTAGATTTAATCCTCAACTTTTACCATAAATACTAGATATTGTCTCAACCTTTCATTTTGACAAAAAAAAAAATGATCCCTAATCTTTGCAAACTTACCAAACTTAATCCTGGGGTTGGCGACTTTCGTTCATTTTCCAAAAAAAATCTTAATCAAAATTTGGAGAGGTCTAATAGAAATTTTTACATAATTTTCTTTTAATTTTTATTACCTTAAAATTATTTTTACTAAATTTTAGAGTCTTCACACCCCTTAAATCTTCTTTTTCAAAAAATGGTCAGAATTTGTTTTTATTTTACAAATAAGAATTTATGTATATGTTACAGGTTGGAATTTTATAATTTGATATGGATTTAATTTGAGAGAAAAGAGAAAATTAAGACGTTTTGATATTAAAAAAGTCAGGATGTCTTAAAATTAAAAATATTAAAACGTTTAATTATAATCATTAAATATGTGAAGTATAATGTAAATTTTAATTTTATCAAATTTATCATGTGTTTGTTATTAAATATCCTAACATTTTTAATGTCAAGGTATCTTGATTTTTTCTTTTCCCTTAATTTTATAATTTTTATTTTATAAAACAATAATTTAGATTATAGATAATTTACAATTGAAAACTATTTGGGTTATGAAATTCATTATATTGTTAAACTATTAAGTTATGTCAATAACTTATATGATTGAAGTAAGAGCTTAATTTGCATTTAATAAAAGGTTAAAAAAAAAAAAAGAAACATATGATCTGCGGAGTTTCCTAAAAATAAAAAATAAAAAACAAAATTCAACCAATGTTAAAGAAAATGAAATATATGTCTGGTGTTTAGAGGCTTTTTACAATTTTAATTATAATTTTTTGTTATGAAGTTTTAACTGAAATAACCAACAATATGCTTAAGTTTGGTACTTTTGTAAAGGTTAGGACCATTTTTGGTTAAAATAAAAAGTTGAAACAATATTTAATATTTATAATAAAGATGAGGGATTAAATTTGATATTTACCCAACAACTAAATATAATTATGAAGTTTTATTGTTTTAATGACGCAGTCAGGGGACATATGCGGATAAGTGATTTACAGAACTATCAATTTCACAAAAAGAAAAGCCTATCGCAATTCCAATCCCTTTCCATTTTTTTCCTTTTTTTTTTTTTTAAGGAGTCTTATATTATAATCATATGACATAACAACGGGGTTTTATTCAATTTAAAATTGAATTAAATTATAAAATTTAATACT